GAACATGCAAGAGTGGGCCAAAAAACCATTCCCCTTAATCCTTTCTCATTGGCGGGCCAATGAAAACCTGCCAAGGGGGCCACGTTAGCTGAAGGGTACCATTTCTACGATCTCTGCGGTACAGCGAGCCTCAAATCCACCTTCCTAGTGACCCCTCTCCTGTTTTAATACTAATGACGATCAGTTGACATCCCACCAGTCTCGATGCCTGTTGCAGGGGCCGCTCTGAGGAGGCGGGAGCTGCTGCTCAGCTGGCAGTCGGCATGGCCACGCCTGGCTAATGCAGGTGCTGAAGCAGTAGCCCAGGCAGCAGCACCTCAAGCCAGACGAGAGCAGATGAGGCTACGCACAGGGCGCGGGAACCTCCTGCATAAAGATCCGTGCCTTAATTAGTCCGTTAGCGTGTAGTGCAGGGTACAGACTGCCCACAAATCCTCGTCCATGGCACTTGCTGACACTTTCTGTTCACTCCGTTTCCGTCTTGCAGCGGTCGGGCTGACGAGAACCGAGCGTTTAAGTACGTCAGCTGATGCAGGAGAGCTGCAAGTAAAATAAAGCCGGGTTGTTGACGTTGGCCTGCAGTGCTGAATCGCAAGCGCCTAAACTCGCCGCAACAGGGAGAGTGGCATAGATGTGCCAGGCTGAGTTGTGCCCCGAACTCGAAGGACCTGCCGCTCAACCCGTTCGTTAACCAGGCAAATTCGGGTCGGGGCGAGCTGCCCACCTCCCCACAGCCCTGCTCTCGGTGCCGTTACTCATTACCAACTTGCAGGAGTCCCCAGTGAAGCGGCCAAACCCCGGTGTGTTTAAGTTCCGTAAGGATCAAAGCCCAAATAGGAATGCCCTTTTTTCCATGCGTCTTCACTGCAGTTTTCCTCCTGTCAGAGGTTTCACGCAGATCCCGAGGTGGAGCAAAACAGTCTTAGAAAAACCGCAGGGGCTTTTGCTTGGGATGTAGCTTTGCCCAATCCCAGTTCGTCACTAGAAGCGTTCCCTGGGCAGCACTACCCCGAGGGCAGGGTGTCCAAAGCCATCTCCGGCACTGGGTTCAGGCCTCCCAGGAATGAGGGGGCCTTCTCAGCGATCTGCTCGAGCCTTAACCAAGGGCTATAACAAAACCCATTTATCTCCAGCTCCACTTTCCCCCGCCCTCCCGAGTTTAGCCTGAAAATGGTGCAGAGGGGGTTTGACCCCCGTTAACCTGACGGTAGTTGCCGTTTCCCCTACGGCAGCTGTAATGCTCTCTATACAGGGATCGGAGTGATCCGAGGCTCCCCTTACTCCAAACCAACAAGCTCTTTCCCCACCGTCCTGCTGAGAAAGGGCTCAGCTCTTCCATCCAGACCACGGGCTGCTGCGGACACCACACCTCCACAAGCAACTGTCACAAATCCACTTCCCTATCCCAATACATTCCTAGGCAGGAAAAGCCTCTTAAAAGGGGCAGTTTACATAGGGACAGCCTCAGAGCGTCACCACAGAGCTTCTGCCTTTGTAAAATGGCTTTCCAAAAAGAAATAAAAAAGATGATTAAAAAGGATGATTTTTCCCATCCCCCTCCAAGAAAAGAGCAAATCGTATCGGACAAACGCAGAAGGTACAGCACTCCGTGATCGCTCTACGAAATATTTATTGGTAACAGCCACAACACTGGAGTCTCCACATACGTAGCATTTTGCGACAACGCATCATTTGACCTTTCTGTATTTACACCCATCCGGCGGATGCCACCTCGGGGTCAAACTCCCCACGCCAGCGCACGACCGAAGGAACCGGTTTCCGCAAGGCTCGCCGGGATGCTGGCCCCCAACCCAAACCCACGGTGAAGTCTCCTAAAGTGCAAATACAGTCAAGAGGCATCGGAAAAACACTGCGGCTTCCAAATCCGCTCAACCGCTCCTGCGTCGCCCGGAGCAGGGGGTGCGACATCAACCAGGGACACGGGAGCCTCCGAAAAAAATCATCTCTTGGGGAGTAACGTGGAGAATGACACCCAAAGCCTCCTCCAGCCCAAGAGATGCGCTGCGGCACCACTCAGGGTGGGCTGTGCAGTCCCACCTCCCCCCTCGCTTTGAGAAAAGGTCCTCACCTCAGCCCAAAAACATGGGAGGGGGGTTCTATCTTTTACATGCCCAATTTGGGGGAGGGGAAATGCTGTTTCCTGCTGGGGTTTACGTAAGGTTGGACGCTCCGTTGGAGTGGGGAGAGCTGGTTTTGATGAGGCGTGTTGCCGATTAGCCGGCTGCCCTGACGACGTGGCATTCCGCTGGCCGGAGTTAAACCGCCACACACGGGAACTCCAGTCCCAATACTTCTGGATTAGCACGAGGAAGCTACAAGCTTTATTCACCTTTCCTGTCTAACCCAGGAACATGATACTTGAGTTTCCTGACAACGCTTGGCACATTTCCCTCTGACAGGAAAACAGTGCTACAACCACCAAGATGCCTTTGCCTGTGTGGGTGGCCATCGGCTTCAATTCTAAACAGAGCATTAGTGCCGTGCACAAACCCGTGAGCGCATTTCCATTCCAGAAAGCCACTGGTGTTCTCGATGCACGTGTCCCCCCTAACGCTCTCGGCGCACGCGTCCTTCTAGATGGGCCTTTGGTCCTCTTAAATGTTTCCTGCTGCAACACACAACGTTTTACAATGCTGCAGGGGAAGAGAGACGAACAACGGTCTGCAGACAAGTGCTCAAACCACACCAATTCTAAAAAAATGCTCTTTTGCTAAAAACTTGCCAATGCTTCCCAGCGAAAAACGACAAGAAAAATGGCTGGAGGCTATCTGTTCACTCCCTCAGGCCTGGGAAAGCCCTGAAAGCCGATTCGCTACTGAACGCTGAAGCATAAACGTTAAAATGCACTACAAACCCCAAATCCCTGTGTGTTACAAACCACTGCAAAATACAGCTGCTTACAGAAACACTGGTGGTAGAAGAGCACCAAGCAGCCCAAAACGCAACAACGCTGCAGCGAAGAGGCGGCCGCGGAAACCGAGCGGGCTGCGAGGACCAAGACACCCGTCTCCCTGTGCACTGGGCGTTTACAGGTGACGGGGGACAGCACACGCCGGCGAGAGGGTTGCTGGTGGTGCAGTGAGAACCTCTCCCCTGCATCGCCCTCAGCAGGCCTGTCTGACAGGGTTGAAAGCGTTAGCCCGCTGTTCCATTCCCTCCTCCGGTCTGGAGGATGGGCAAACTCGCATCCCAGACCCGTGCCACGAGAAACGGCTCTGAACTCGCACGGTAGCAGCCCCAGAGCCCAAGGGGAAGCTCCCACCACAGCATCGATCCAAAGATCCCGTAGCAGACTGCCTCGCACATGGCAGTCCTGCCGGCTGTCACCGGCAAACGCCGCAGCCCGGCACGCGCTGCGACTCCGAAGGGAGCGGCAGTGGAGAAGCGCTCGTTCCCCAGCTCTTAGCACGGCACATTTCCACTGAGCAGGGCGGTTAAAATACCACCCAACAGGCAAGGAAAAGCAAAGCAGGAGCTGCTCTACAAGCTGATTCCCTTTTCCAGGGAGACGTGCTCTGAATTAGGGCCCTGCGGTTGAGACGAGCGTTGCTGTTCTAGAGAGCTGTCCCAAGGCAGACTGCTTGGGCACTGCCCTCCAGCACGGGCACTCGAGAGCAGGGAGGACATGCCTGCCACCATCACCTTACCGGCACTTTACACGGAGGAGAGGGGAAGCACACGTGACTGCACGAAGAACAGACTTTCCACGCCGTGACCCAGCCCATCAACCCAAGCATGTTTGGAAAGGCAGGAATACAGCAAACACCACGTTTACGCTGAGCCTGTCCCAGGCTGCTGGTGAGCGCAGCGTGTGAGAGAACAGCTGGAACCAGGCACGAAAACCCAGAAGCCCCTCTGGAGCAGGTCCCTCCCACCTCCTGGCAGGGGCCGTTCCTCGGAGCAGAGGCGCAGCAAAGCCATCAGCACGGTCACACGGGGGAGTTTTAAAACACAGTTCTGAAGAGGGCATCTGACAAGGGACGCGTCGGTCTTCTGGGGCTACCGCTGAAAACCGGCAGGGCCTGTAACAAAACGCACGATGAACCAACGGCACGGCAGCTTTAGCAAAGGGACAGCGGTCTCGGCCTGGCGTGCGGAGCGTTCAGTGGAGCGTATTTACAAACCAGGAGCAGAGAACTGCTTGGGTGAAGGTAAACAGTCTAGACATCCCACAATACTGGCCCACATCATATTCTTTAATATCTAAAAGTAAAAAAATATGGCCCATTCCCACGCTTCCCCACCCCCCGTATTTACAAGTAAGATCAGCCAAGATGATTCGTAAGGAAAATACACAAGCAGACAGTGCTTTCAGTCTCAGTTTGGTTTCTCCATCTTCCTCGCTATTGCTTGGGACACTGACTGGACCTCATCAGTACTGCGTGCTCCCTCCAGGATGCTGGCAGAGCAAACCGCAGGCAGGCTTCAGCAAGCTCCGGCAGCGGTCAGAGCCTGCACGGTGCGTTGCACACCATCGCCGAAAACAGGATGACAAGATGTGTATTTACAGCCACCCACTCTTTCGGCACGTGTTCCACTGCAAGAGAATCCAGCTGATCTGCTGTTTAAGCCGCAAACTGTCGGTGCTGACATTTGGCACACAAGTGGCTCTGCATCTGCGGACTGCAGCGAAAGCAGAGATCCCCGATGTGAAAACCATGCGCTTACGGGAAGGAGCTGCACGTTCCGCCCTGGAACGTCAATACCCTTGTGCACTTCGAGAAAGGAGACACAATTACAGCTTAAAAAATGCCACAGACATTTTGTAAATAAAGCAAGACTTCATTGCTCTCAGAAATAATACTGTGTCAGTTCCAAGTGTGGCTGAAGTCTGCCGGGCACGGATTGGAAGGTGAGAACACGTAGCATGCCGCTTCTGAACACACCAGGAGGCCAAGTGGAGGAGTCCT